ATATATATATATTAAATTTTACTTTATTAAAATTATATGTTATTTTAAAAAATTAATATTGATAGAGCCAATTTAATTATTACAACAATTTAAAAATAGATCAAATTTAAATAATATTAAAGAGTGTGTCTATATATATATATATACACGTAATGTATCAACAAAATTTATACACAACATATTATAAATGTGAATAAATCATTCATTACATAATTTAACGTCTAAAGTTTAAGTTTCAACTAAAAGAAACTAGTTAACATTATAATCAATAATACTATTTTCTACATAAACGGATTCTTCTTTTTTGCACTACTCCCCTTGTAATAGTTGAATCACCACCTATTCAGCTGCAATTTGAACACAAATATAGTTTTAATTTAACATATTTTTCTTAAGCAAATAATAAAAAAAAATTGAAAAGCATAGAAGTATCATCATAATTTACGTGATTCTACTATATTATAGTCATGACAAAAACATTTATGCAAACATCCAAAACTCATCAAGTAACACCAACCATATTCTCACACCAAACACATCCATATGGCATATTAAGTTGTGGTTTTCATTCATTGAACAAAATTGTATCATATTTTCGTCACTATGATCATCCCATTAAACATTATCCTCTAAGACTATTTTCAGATATTCTAATTTTTTTTATCTAATTAACATGTCCCTGAACAGGAATTTGAGTTTAGCATTCAAAAACTAGTGGACAAAAATGACCAATTTATATGTAACATTAATATATTATTCTTCTACTTAAATACTCACACCCTTTCTTGCAATTTCATGTCAAACATAAATTCATTGAGGCATGAGACATTTATAAAATACGACATTACTAACTAATAAAATCAAAATCAAATCCCTGTATGACCATCCCAAAGACATGATGTACATATAGATAAAGTTATTAATTAACTATTATTTACAAACATTTTAGTTAATTGATAATATGAAGACTAAATTCTTATCCTAATATAATGTATTAGATATACATACGTACCTAATACAAGTAACATCACTTGCGATTACTTAAAACATAAAAGCTTCAATTATCATCCCTGAAAATAGAATAATGTCTCACAGTTATAATTAAGTAAAACATAAAAATGTATATACAATTTTTCAAAGATTAAATTATTAAGAGAGAATGCTTGTCTGAAAGTTATTAACATTAGTATATGCTAATTTATATTATCTTTAAATGTATAACAAATAATATTTCAATTGTACGTAGACCAACAATAAAAATATTTAAGCTCTAAATAAAGCTTAAAACACAATTTCATAATAAATGATAAATAAAAACTAATGTAAAATTGAAACATTTTTATCAATAAGCATATTAAATTAAAGAACCTTCTGAGAGCTGCTTCAACTTTATCATTCGATTTGGATACATTGTAGATTCTAACGGAAGATTGCCCAGCCTATATAAATGTTTGAAAGGCTTATAAATTTAAAATTAATAATTTGAAAAGTAAATAAACTTTTAGAAAAAAATAATTTTATAGGCTTTATTTATTATTCATACTTACAAAAAAAGTGCGCATTCTAAAAAACATATCTGCAATCCTGTCATTGAACTGCTTTTCCATTTAATAGAAGAACCTCATGACTCAAGCTTAACCACAACATAATCACAGAAATATTGCACCAGCATCTTCTGATTTATTTTTCTGCATTATTCTGTTTTATGAGTTGTACATACTTAGACCTTTCTAGAATTAGTGTGTTGTACATATAGTACACGTGGTACAAGAATATGCCACTCTTCCTTTTTTATTCCTTCTTATCATTAGGACTATGAAATTCTATATAATATAATGATTTTGACACAGAAATACAAGAAGGAAGTTTTCACCTTTATACATTATTTGTTTTTGTTTTATGGTATCAAGAGCCTTTAGGGTTCCATGGCCACACCTGACAATGATTCTTCAGGTGCTGAGGACAACAACACATCTCCACCTTTCAATGATCCCAGCCACAATCCTTCTAGTCCCTTTCACATTCATCCAAGTGAAAGTCCCTCCTCTGTCATTGTTACCCCAGCCCTCTCGGCTAACAACTTCCAATCCAGGTCCAGGTCCATTCGAATAGCCTTAATATCCAATAACAAAATGGGATTCCTAAATGGATCCATTCCCAAACCAGCATTCACCGACCCTCTTTACCCACACCGGGAACGTTGTAATACACTCCTTATGTCATGGCTTCTAAACTCTCTATCCCCTTCAATTGCACAAAGCGTCATTTTCTTCGAGATTTCCATTGACATATGGACTGATCTCAGGGAACGCTTCTCTCAAGGAGATTTGCTTCATGTAGCTGAACTACAAGAAGAAATCTACGCTCTAAAGCAAGGCAACAACAATGTCAATGATTATTACACAAACCTCAAATCTTTGTGGGAGGAATTAGACAATTTCAGACCTCTTCTTCCTTGTTCTTGTTCTGTTAAGACATTCCACCAACAGGATTTCATAATCCGGTTCCTCAAAGGCCTTGATGATTGCTTCTCCATGAACCGAGGCATTCCACACTCAGGAAGGGCCATAGCTAACAAAAAATGTGATCATTATGGACGCCTCGGTCACACAATCGAAGTATGCTACCAAAAGCATGGAAGCTCTGCCCCTAAATGCGAACACTTGCGGCCGCACAGGTCACACCGTTGACGTCTGCTACGGGAAGTACGGTTATCCCCCTGGACATCCTAAGTACCCTGGTCGTCCTCGTCCTCCCAACAAAAACCAGTCCAACCATGGAGGTGCTGTCAATAGTGCTGTTGGAGAAGGAAACAAAACTACAACATATGGGGGAGACAACCCTAAGGAGACTGGTGCTGTTTCGGTAAACAAAAATGGGCTTAAAATCACTGAAGCCCAATATCAGCAATTGATAACTCTTCTCCAAGCTAATCCTGGGCTTGGTGGTGCGAACTCTAATGATATGCCTATTCAGGCTAACCTTTCTTTTTCCAGCCCAAATTATTTTTCTGACACTATATCTGGTATTCCTTGCATTTTTTCTATTTCCACCACCCTTAGTACAACTAAATCACATATTCCTCCTTGGATTATTGATTCTGGAGCAACAGATCACATTGTTTGCTCACTAGATTATTTTCATACATATTCAAAAATAAAACCTATGAATATCAATTTACCAAATGGAACTTTTGTGAAGGCTCAAATTTCTGGAAGTATTCACTTTTCACCCTCATTTGCTATTCATAATGTCTTATATGTCCTTGATTTTACATTCAACCTTCTATCCATTTCCAAATTACTTTCCACTCTTGAATATGTGATAACATTTTCTAATGATTCTTGCCAAATCCAAGAAGCTAGCATGTTGAAGACGATTGGTTCGGCTAAGCTCAAAGAAGGACTATATCACTTGGTAATTGACAAAGAGAGGGAATCACCACCCATTCTACCTTTAACCGCCAATAACATCAACTCTTCCATTAATAATCTCAATCTTTGGAATTTTAGATTAGGGTATTTGTTTGGAAATCGTCTCAATGTGTTACACTGTGAGTACCCCTTTATTCCAAAACATTTTAATGAAATGTGTGATGTTTTTCATTTGGAAAAACAAAGAAAGTTGTCTTACTCTCTTAGCACTAATAAAAGTTCTAAAATTTTTGACTTAGTTCAAATGGATATTTGGGGTCCCTTTTCCAAAGCCTCCATCCATGACCATAAATATTTTTTAACTATTCTTGATGACCATAGTAGATATACTTGGGTTATCTTGTTAAAATCTAAGGCTGAAGTCAAATCTCATATACAAAACTTTGTTGCTTTGATAGAAAATCAATTTGAGACCACAATTAAGTGCATTCGATCTGATAATGGGCTTGAATTTTTGCTAAAAGATTTCTTTTCTTCAAAAGGAATAATTCAGCAAACAAGTTGTGTTTACACTCCTCAACAAAACGGAAGGGTTGAACGAAAGCATCAACACATCTTAAACGTTGCTAGGGCCCTCATGTTTCAATCTCAAATACCAAACAATTTTTGGTGCTATGCAATCAAACATGCTATGTTCTTAATCAATCATGTACCCTCTCCCGTTATTTTAAATAAAACACCTTTTGAACTTCTTTACAAACAAAAACCAGATTTTTCAATGCTCAAGGTTTTTGGTTGTATGTGTTTTGCTTCCATAAACACTCATCATCACAAATTTGAAGCTAGATCCTGAAAAGGGGTTTTCTTAGGATTTCAAAATGGCATAAAAGGGTACATTATCATGGATTCAAACAGTAAACAAACCTTCATTTCCAGAAATGTCATTTTTTATGAAATGCATTTTCCATTTCATCAAAACGAAAACAAAAATGAACAGCAGCCCACATTCACACCGCCTAGATTACTTGACACAAATTCCATATTTGGGCCACCTTTGGCCCAATCCTTCCCTCAAGAATCTTCTCCCTCTAGAAACCTCACAAACTTTTCTTCAAAAGGAATAATTCATCAAACAAGTTTTGTTTACACTCCTCAACAAAACGGAAGGGTTGAACGAAAGCATCAACACATCTTAAACGTTGCTAGGGCCCTCATGTTTCAATCTCAAATACCAAACAATTTTTGGTGCTATGCAATCAAACATGCTATGTTCTTAATCAATCATGTACCCTCTCCCGTTATTTTAAATAAAACACCTTTTGAACTTCTTTACAAACAAAAACCATATATTTCAATGCTCAAGGTTTTTGGTTGTATGTGTTTTGCTTCCATAGACACTCATCATCACAAATTTGAAGCTAAATCCTGAAAAGGGATTTTCTTAGGATTTCAAAATGGCATAAAAGGGTACATTATCATGGATTTAAACAGTAAACAAACCTTCATTTCCAGAAATGTCATTTTTTATGAAATGCATTTTCCATTTCATCAAAATGAAAACAAAAATGAACCACAGCCCACATTCACACCGCCTAGATAACTTGACACAAATTCCATATTTGGGCCACCTTTGGCCCAATCCTTCCCTCAAGAATCTTCTCCCTCTAGAAACCTCACAAACTTTTCTTCAAAAGGAATAATTCATCAAACAAGTTGTGTTTACACTCCTCAACAAAACGGAAGGGTTGAACGAAAGCATCAACACATCTTAAACGTTGCTAGGGCCCTCATGTTTCAATCTCAAATACCAAACAATTTTTGGTGCTATGCAATCAAACATGCTATGTTCTTAATCAATCATGTACCCTCTCCCGTTATTTTAAATAAAACACCTTTTGAACTTCTTTACAAACAAAAACCAGATTTTTCAATGCTCAAGGTTTTTGGTTGTATGTGTTTTGCTTCCATAAACACTCATCATCACAAATTTGAAGCTAGATCCTGAAAAGGGGTTTTCTTAGGATTTCAAAATGGCATAAAAGGGTACATTATCATGGATTCAAACAGTAAACAAACCTTCATTTCCAGAAATGTCATTTTTTATGAAATGCATTTTCCATTTCATCAAAATGAAAACAAAAATGAACCACAGCCCACATTCACACCGCCTAGATAACTTGACACAAATTCCATATTTGGGCCACCTTTGGCCCAATGTGTTAATTGAATTATTATGAATGTATATTTTTATGTTCTTGAATTTATCTAGGTAAGAACATCTAACATTTTATCTTAATAAATTCGTGAATTAATGATTGATTTGAATGACTTTGTGTATAATGAGTTAGGGTTGGATTGAATGGTTGAATTTAAAGTAAGTTTAGTAAAAAATGTAATTCCATATTATTTTGTTTGAACTAAACTATTGCATTCTAATTAACTTTTGTTTTGGTGCAGAAGTAATCAATTTCAAATAATGTTAAAGCTAGTACTAGAGAATTGTTTTAAAATGGGTAGAGTGCAGTACTTTTTTTTAAGTTGTGATTTAGTTATGTATTTTTGTTTGCAATAAAGCTTTGATCCTCAATTTTTTGGAGGATGTAAAATTTTTTTATTTTCTTCATAACACTTGGAATGGAGAAATTACAATCTCAAGCATTTATGCAGATTTGAGGAAATCTGTGCATACTTCTGCAAACATTTGATCATTTTGGCAAATATCTCAATGTTTTATTGCCTCATCTAAACACGAGGTCCCATATTCACATGTTGTGTAATGCGGTAATTTTTTCTGGCAATAGAACATTGAATCTCCAATGGTTTAAGGTTGCTAAATAACTTAAATAATTTGATAGTTGATAACATTATTGTCACTACTAGAAATATGCTTTTTTTTTTTTTGCGGATTTTACTACGAAAAGAATTTTTCATGAAATATTTGCGATTCTTTTTACAAATTAAATATTATATGAAATTTTTGTGAAAATTTTTACAAATTAAAAATTGCAGGAAATTCTTGCCAAAATTTTTGCGAAAATAAATTTACAAAAAATATCTACAAATTTTATTGCAAATATTTTTTGCACATAAAAAATTCTAAAAAAAATTTACAATTTTTTTTTCTACAAGTTTTGTTTTGTTGCAAATATAATTAATAGATAATATTTTGATGAATTATAGGAAAAGTCGTAGGAAAATTTTCCTACAAATTTTCCTGCTCATTGAAATTTTTTAATAAATTAATAATAAAAATTTTAATTAAAGAATAGTTTTTTAAATATATATTAAGTATAATTTATATTAATTTAAATTTACCAACCTCTGTTCAGATTCAGATTTGTAGAATTTTTAGAACGCATATGCTCATTCACACTTTTTCATCACTTTCGCACACTTTCTCTCTCGATTCGCACTTCCTCTCTCTCTCTCGTTACCTCTTTCACCGATCACTTTCGCACACTTTCTCTCTCGATTCACACTTCCTCTCTCTCTCGATTCGCACTTCCTCTCTCTCTCGTTACCTCTTTCACCGAGCTTTCCTAATGCTGCGATTCGACCACTCCCTACCCTAACAGGGACGAACATCCTTGTCACGAACTCCAGGAAGTACAGTATAACTATAGAAGCGGGAAGGTACGAGCTCCTCATTACTTCTTATTCGACTTCCAGGAGGAAGAAGCAAGAGTCAGGTGTGGCATTTAGGTTTCCTATCATAGTTGTTCAATAATCAATAATCAGAGAAGATCTTATTCTCTGATTTTCAATAATCGCTATCAACATAGGAATATCACGGTTATTAGGGGTTATACTTTATATAATCAATCATAACCGATTTTCCTATTCTTCCAATCCTCGCAGCGCATTTAACACCTTGAAGTTGAATTGGAATAAATTGGAAAATCATAGAACTAGGTAACTTAGGAGCTCAGGTTTCTATGGTGAAAGGTCTTGTTAGGTGTAATTATGGCTGTTTCCCAAGCAATGGAGGGGATGATTAGGAATATGGTGTTTTTTTTCAGTTGCTAATATAATGAGAGCAGAAGAAAGAAGACTTTATTTCTTATTGGTCATAAACAATGTGAGGACCCCTTTTTCCTTTTTCCTTCCCGACTCCATTTCCTCACTCACTCTAACTCTCATTTTCTCTTTACTCACTCTCACCTTCTCCTTCTTCTTGCTTCTGATTTCCTTCCTTGTGGTGACCTTGAATTGAAGGTGCTGATCAAGCCTAGGCAGGGCTAGCTGAAGATTTTCTCCTTTCTCCGTTCGCTTTCAAGTTTCTTCTTCTCCGATCTCCGCGGTCCCGAAGCTCGGATTTTCGTACCGAGGTAAGGGAAGCTAGGTTTTTCGTCGTTTTTGGATGAAATTGAGTTCTAGGAACTTATTTGGCTGCTGAAGCTTGATGATTGTGGTTGAGAATGATGAAATAAAAGGGTTTTTGGGTTTTGGGGTTTTTGAAGAAATTCTTGATTAATTCTTGTTTTGTGGTTGCATGTGGGAAATGTATCATTTTTATTGATCTTTGATGGAAATAATGGCTTTTGGCTAGACTGCATGTGTTGGAAATGGAAGTTTTTGCAGGTTTTGGACTAGATTTTCGAACTTGGTGGGTTACTGCTGAGCTGCGCGCTGGGCGCAGTTCTTTTTGCCGGGCGCGTGACCACCTGGGGGCTTCATTTGGGCAAGCCCGCCGGGCGCAAAGGTGTGTGCGTCGGGCGAGCTTGTGAATGTGAGCCTCTGGATGGCCCACGTCGGGCGTGGCTTGGACTACGCCGGGCGCGCTATCAGTAGGTGGTCTGATTTGGGGGTTTCTGGTTCCGCGCTAGGCGCGCGTTTGGATTCGCTGAGCGCGGAGGCTCCTTGGGGGTCTAATCATAACCTGATCAAGATTTGTTCCACTATCTCAATGAAGAAGTTTTACAAGCATACCACACATGCATATACTCCTACATTCAAGATAACCACTTTCTTGACCCCAAGAAAGCACCTCTTGTAGAAATCCACTACAAGAATTCCTTACCACTTGAGACACCTACTCAAGATTTACAATTATTCACAAAGAATTAAAGGAACGAATTCACCTGGAAGGGGTTAGTAAGAACAAGAAATGTTCCAATAACTGAAGCGGTGGCAATGTTTTTACATATCCTTACTCACAACCTAAAGTACAGAGTAGTGCACTT